ATAATGTATAACATTGCAGGTGCATATATTTTGCCAACTTACATTTTACTACACATTTTTGTATATTATAATTATTTTTTACATATTTTCCACATTTACCCTCACACATTTTATACAGCATGAAAATATGATCCCTTTTCTTCACCAATCGCAGCCCATTAAGGGCGAGAAATTAATTCATTTATATCCGAAAATAAAGACAACTCGTCGAAAATAGGACAGGCACCACTTTCTTTACCGCTTTTGATATATACAAAGAAACATATTTTAAAAAAGAATTTGGAGCCGTTTTTCAGAAAATGTTTTGAATGTTTTGGGAAAAGTAAAATATTTGACTTTCAGGGTTCAGTATCAATCGGATGTCATTAGTATGTCCCGATTGCACAGACCGGAAAAACTAGAAGATCAACCCATCACTTCCTGCCGTTTTATTGCTAGCCAGCTCACGAAAATATTTGTAATACAAACATAAATCACCCTTCAAATAAAACAAAACTAAACCCACTGTAAATCTTTTACGAAAAATGTACCTCACCTTTGCTGTAGGTGATGGAGCCGAAGCGCGCGCGTGATCTTGGCGACGGCGTCGTCAGGACGCGGCGGCAGGTATCGCGGCCCAGACGTTGGGCAGCGGCATCCGCGCGCCTTTTTATGGCACCATCGCGGCTGGTGGTGTCCACACAAGACGCTGTCCCATGTAGTCTCTCAGTGGCTGGCTTGGACCGGGCTTGGTGCAGAGAACTGTGTATACAGTAAGGCTTTCGTGCGCGCGATAGCCTCGTTGAGGCCTTTCTCTTCAACCACGCGGTGGCTTCACCAGTGTGGCTGTGCTGACGAGGTTGCGAAAGCCCAGTGTGCGCCGTGATGCCATCGTAAGGACGCGATGAGTAGTTGTGCGACTCCGACCTTTGCCTGGCGAGCTCACGCGCGCGTGCCGTGTCGTTGAGCAGCACACATTTCTGCGATTGGCTATTGTCGACGAGCCTCCCAGTTCTCGCTCATTCGGCGCACCGCAATGAGATGGGCTGGCACCGCCACCTGGTCCACTTTATCGAACGGGTGCTCCAGCGTCCGGTCGATGTATTCAATGCCCGTGAGCGTCTCAAGAGTTTCCAAGAGGGGCCTGGATACTTGAATACTATAATGTGCCCATTCGATAGCATTTCGTCTTGCCCACGTTCTGAATAGAACATCGTTCGGTGACAGTCTGTCCTCCCATTCCACGAAATCGGAGACAACAAAAGCGAGAAGATACGTTGACATTCTGGGAGTTGTCTGGAAACTTGTCTCTCTATGTGATCCGTCCCTGCTGGATAAAGTAAAATAATGTTTTCGGTTATTTTGTTTTGTAAATGTTGTGTAGGAAAATTACATAATAAAATCATTGGTTTTAACTGTCTCTAATACCATTGAGAAAGTTTTAATGAGAAAGAAGAATAATGCTTTTTGAATAAATGTCTGTTTTTACACCTTGTTTTATGTTTCTCTAGTACTAAACAAGTGTATTTTTCTTGTTCTTGTAAAAAACAAACTACGCTATAACACGTAGTGAAGTCATAATCTACGATTGCTGGGTACTGAATACGAAATAATAATTATTGCAAAATTGCAGTCCATGCGTCTGTGAACAACTCTGACGAAGAAATTATAAATAAGATTTTTACCAAAATATATATTCCTTGCTTTATCATGCTCATGTCGCGCACCATTCAATTTAAAAAGGATAAATTAATTTTAGAGGTATTGTATACAAAAGAGCTTCATTATTTTCTCACGAATGGTCCGAATTGCTTAAAAAAATTATCGATTAGAAAACAAACATTTTAAAAAATGAAGCCATTCATGAGAAACATTTGAAAATGTTGAGAATTCAATTAAAGAACTTCAAAAATTAAAATATATTTTTGAAAATCAATGTTCTGCGACATCAGACGGTTCGATCGGGGAATATCAATTTTGGAGAAATTCTTGCAAATGATCTGTCAAAGGACCCACAAAAAATGGTCTCTGACTACATAACGTTTTCGGAATCAGAGCTCCACAATTCGAAATTTTCAAAAAAAAATTCATCATTTTCACCGCAAAATTTCTCTGATTTCTCTATATTACGAGTATGTTATTAGTATGTGAGAAGGTACAAAATTTCATAAAAATATTTTGGCGCACTAATCTGGCCAAAATTAAGCTACATTTGAATTAAAAATCCCAGTGTTTCAAGTTATACCCAAATCCAACAGGGCACGCATTATAAAATAATTTGAACCTAACTAATGAATGTTTATTACCAATTGTTTCCTCTCTTTTATGACCAGTACATTCAATTTTGTAACTATAAACCTCTACCTTCTTTTTTCGTAACTACTTCGTATATCGAGAATATGTTATGTTAGGCACATTACGTGTTATTAAATACATACATACATACATACACATATATATAAATTATATATAATATATAAATTATATAATAAATTCAAAAATCATAATCTTGTATAGTTCTTGTTACCTTCTCACGGTTTCAATCGATGGCATGTTTGATAAAACATGGTAGTATTCAGGAGCTCTGACGTTGAGAGAGAACGTAGCTTTGAAGTTGGGCTCATCGAAGCAAGGGAAAGCCCTGCGTGCGTACGTAGGCTGAAATTGCGTTGCTGCTAATTGTCTGTAACACCAGACCACATTAGAGCGGACGTTTATTGAAAATTGGAAACTTATATCTTTTTAATGCATCTTAAAAACTTACATTTGTTCTCCCTTCTCGTTTGTGTAACTGCTGAGATAGAAACCGTACATATCACGCCTCAAAGGCCCGGCAAAGAACATGGAAATTTCGTAGACTTTTCCCTTTATAAGTGGACGGGTAAGATGTATTTTCATAAGCTGGTGTGTGACATCGAACGAATCTGATTCATATAAATTATTGTCGTCATCTACAGCTTTTACAACTATATTTTGTCCACTGACACCTTCAGCATGTAAAAGAATAACCTCTGTTGCTTCCATTGCAGTTACTAAAATTGATATATCTCCTGTAAAGGATACATGCTCTAAGGCTGCATCAATAAAAATTGTATAATGATTCGGTATAACTGATTGAGGTAGACGATACATCTGCAGCTCCTTGTCTTCCAAAATTCTAAAAATTTCTTCTGCGTGAGTCGACAGCCACTGTAAATTGTCATCAACTACAGCAAGCGCAGCATATCCAGTCGAGCCGAGCTCGTCTTTGAATTTCGTCACAAACTCTTGGAGCTTAAAGAGACAAAGTAAATCGTTAATTGGATTTTAAGTAAAGTAGATACCTTTTATTATGATAAATAAATAAAGATATTGTCAGGTATCAAGATACCTGACAATATCTTTATTTATTTATCACAAAGTAAATCAATGTTAAGTGGTTGGAAAACAGAAATTTCGTGTGATGCAGAGGGTAGAGTTTTATATAAAGAAGCAATACCTTTTCTCTCTGTTCTGATGTCGTCATTCGACTTGCAATGCCACTTAAAATGTTGCTAATGGAACCGAAACTGTAACCATGTAGAAATTTCATGAGTTTAACTGTATGAGCAATGCATTAAGTAAAAAAATACACAATCCACTGCACTTACTATTGAGAGACGTCTTCGAAATTATCGTTGAGGAAATCCAAAGCCACATCGACCCCCAAAGGGTTGGAGTAGACAGCTGAAAACACACTGGATGCGTCCTGCTTCCGAATGTCCTCTCCAGCGATGGTCAACTCCAGCAATCTGAAAATTGTTATTTTTGTTGGTGAAGATTATATCAATATTGTAATTTGGGTGAAAATAATGGTTATTAACATTTCACGTTTTTCAGGGCTATGCAATTACAAAACGCGGTTTAATGAGAGACAAGAGTGTTTTATCCAAGTCAATGGTAGTCCGTTGTTTTAAATTGCCCTCTCCTTCATTATGGCTCTGCAAATTTGAAAGTAATATTTTGATTATTCGGGAATTTCACATGTCGCAGCTACTAAAATTTTGAAATTTTCTGAGAAATCTATTAAAATTTCTGGGAAATATTTTAAAATTTTCAGAGTAATATTTTGAAATTTTTATAGAAATATTTTGACATTTTCTGAGAAAAATTTTATATTTTTACTTTCTTGCTACCACTTATGCAGTAGAGAGAAAATTATGCTGCGCAGAAAAGGCATATTTTTGGCTGAAAAACTTATTGTCGCGCCCTGGAAACCAAAAAGAGTATTGTGACTGACTGAAATATATCTCTAAATAGACCCGTGTTTTTTCCTTCATACATCACTAAATAATGACATTGACCTGTTTTCAGGAGATGGATTTTTACTTTAAAATGCTTCAGAGGGAACAGTTAGACGAAATGTTTGGAAATCGTAAAATAAAACCTATATTTTCCTAAACATAAATATCATGAAATAATATGTTTAATAAACAAAAGTATATTAACTATTTATTTACATGAACAAAGAAAATTTTTAAAAAACCGAACAAGAAACTATATTATTACTTGACTTACTATTCCCACCCGTATAAGGCCTTTTTACTTTGCCGTATACATACGTAATATTCGTAATATTGGGGAAAGCTATTGAATGCTGCGAAAAATTGATTTTGAGATTTCAACGAAAATACACGTGTTGGGATCAGGTGATACCGGAAAAGTTTTTTTTGTCAAAACGGAAAAGTGTGATTTAAATAATGTCAAATATAGGAAAACTCTACCGATTAGTGTGAAGACGAGCTCAAAATCCGCACTTTCAGAAACGCTCAAGCGCCATTTTTTATATAAAACGACGCGAAAGTTTTCTTTCATATATTCGTACGGTTAGTGCTAATTTCAAGAAGAAATAAAACCCTTTTTTTGTATTCTTTTGTTTTTTCGTAAATTACAAAAAGGTAATTTTATTGAAAGATCTCTCAACGCTGTTAATATGCACATTTTCAGCAATTTGTAAACACTATTGCTATTGCGAGTTAAAGTGTTTCAAATAACTTCCAATGAAGATTTTCGAAACCCCAAACAATTTTTGTGATAAAGAGCTTCAAATTTTGCATTAACAGTTTTGCTTAAATACCATTTTCTTAAAAACGGCTTTAAATTTGTCAATGGAAATTGCAATTTAGGACGAGGTTTTACTCTTCCTTAATATTTCGTTTCTACTATTAGGAAACCAAAAAATGAAGAAAATTTCCAACAAATATTCTTTGACGAGGGAGATGGCAACTGGCAAGTGGATGTTCCCATCTCCAGACCGTAAACCCAGTCCATAGCAAGGATATAAAAAAAACTTTACTACGAGAAAACCTGTGCAATCAGTATTTTTTTCGAATAGACTAAAAGAGCGATTAATATAATGTCCAATTTTTATTCAAAAATCTTTGAAGTTCTCAATCGGAAAACGTTTGAAAATTTAAATTTTTAATAATTTATTGAAAAATTAATATTTAATCTACAATGGAAAAATATCCAAAATTTTGACTTTGTAATACCTTGCAAATTAGATTCGTACCACTATGATTAATAATGTCTGAAAACTATTTCCGTCCCGATGTGAGTTACATAAATTTATGAACTCCAAAGAAAGTTATGCTCCGGAAGATGCAAGGTGCATGTAGCTCATGGGTATTTATAGTTACAAAACTTTAAAATCCATAATTTCATAATTTAGTTCGGAATGTATCTTAGTTTTTATCTCTCTCAAAAACCTTCCAGTGTTGTATACGCATCAAGAATGAAAATAAATTATTCTACTATCCACAGTTCAGATTACTCACTGAGCGAGGCGACTTTGGAATCCTGAGCAAGCCAGACCTGCAATGATAAGTCCTCGCTCCACGTCGTCAGTAGAAGACTGGTACATTTGCCACAAAGAAGTCCAGAAAAAATCTGGAGAATGACGAATACCATAGCAGTATACTACACTTCTTTGATCTTGGTGAACGCTGCAAAAATTCAGTGTTAATGAGTATGTTCAATTGCAATATTGCAATGTTTGTCCTTAAGAATTAATGATTACGTTATACATTGATGAGTGAATAAAACGAGTTTTATGAAGTTAGTTTTTACAACGTTGTATTAGGAAATCAACAGTGTGTGATGTAATTCACGTATTTTGATAGTGTAATTCAACTAGGAATGTTTTAAATGAATGGAATATATAATTTTCATTATAATAGATATTATAATCTTGCGGAATGGTAACAAGTGCTACGTGAAAGTCGGTAATGTGGCACTACTAAATCATTACTTATCCCCACAGTCAAATCTCTTTAAGAACTGTGGTAATTTTCTATCATTTTTAAAAGGAGAATTACACAAATTGCTTTTCATACTTACCTTTCAGAAGAAGAGATATAAAATAGCAATCTCCTATGCACATGGCCTACGCACGACTCAAGTTCTGCTATACACGCTAAAGATGTGATCCTGTTCATTAATAATTTTTCGTCGTGACTTTCTGGTGCGGAATTTGATAAAAATGTAATTTCTATTTGTTGATATGCCTTGTCGAGGAGTTGTGATATGTATCGCTGCAAAACAAAAATACATACATGACTAAGATTGTCAAAAGTTTCCGAAAATATGGCTGATTGGAGGAGGGGAGGTAATAAGAACCCTCCTGTTAAAATTCATTCATATTTTTTCTCGCTGAAACATTGTATCACTTCTATCGGAACGAAATGTGGAAGGCACCTGCTCAATATAGCCAATGCACTTGAGTAACAAAAAATTGGAAAACATTCTGTATTGAGAAACCCTATAATCATTTTAACAGTGAATCCACTGGTTTTCAAACATGGATAATATTTACTAACTAGCTTGTAACGACAAATGATTCTCATATATTGCTTTTTATAAGTTCTTTTAAATCAATTAGATAAAAGTTAATGTAAAAGAATAGAATTTATAAGATTGGTTTCAGAAGACGATACAGCAATCACATCCAGTTGAATACATTGCAAATCTTTTGGAAATATTAATAATATTGCAAACTGATTTTCATATAAAAGTGCGTTAGTTCCTAATTTATGTATTCATTTAAACAAGAATTGTTTAATATACAGTTAATCACAGTTTTGGAATGGAACAGAACAATTGTAACATCACTAGGTTACGCAGATGATATCGTCTTGATGGCAGAGAGTGAAAACAATCGTCGACACCACTTTCAACATTCGGAAGAATAGACGGAAAGATGGTTAAGAAAATGAAAGGTAAAAATTCATGTACTTTGAGCCAGAAATAATCAGATAGGGTATTCTGAATGATGAAGTGAAGATTTTGCTAGAAAAAGCGACAATATTTTAATCGTGTTTGAATAACATCTCTTGGATGCCTAATAAATTAAATTCCTAAGACGGGTTATTAATATATTTTTTAGAATTTGCTGGATTCTTATGTTATTATTGATATCCCAAGAGTACCCAATTTTGGATCGGTGACTCTTTGTAGACTATAATTAAAATAAAAATTATATACTATAATTAAAATTCTCTCCATGCAAATATAATGGTTCTGTAAGATTGCAAATCACATTGTCTTTCACAAATTCATCGAATTGCCAAAAAGCACAAAATGATTAAACAAAAGTATTACTTCTGAAAATAGAAAAACCCTTTTATGCAAAAACAAGTACAAAATTCCAATGAAAGAATCTCTCCTTATAGTAATGTTTAAATATACACTGAAATATTTGATTGTCCTGCATTATGGTTGACAGCTCTCACATGTAAATGATTGTCCCTCACAATCAAATTTATGCAGAAAGAAGTTTAGATTAGATTTGATTTTAGAACTATATTTGTAATGAATAACGTCAGTCCATACCTGAAACACTGGGTACTTCGGGTGATTCACCAGCATGCGGTTCAGATAAGAGAAAGCCGAGTATGCCGCGGCCCAGGGTATGTAGTCCGTTTCACGACTGAGGTAATCTGCCAAGCCCAAAGTAGTTTTGTACTTCAAATAACCTGCTCGCGCCAAATTGAAAGAGTCATCCAGAAGTTGAGCGCGGTTCAAGTAGTGGATGTCGTCGATGGGATTGGCGTGATCGTTCAGGTATTTTGAAATCAGATTCCAGTTCTTCTCGTCGTAATTTACTCTGTAATAGCCTGTAAATTGAGACAGAATACGAGGCAGTTTGCAATGACCTAAACGTAATGTGTATAAGACTTGCAATATCGAGGATAACATTTTTTACCTGTTTCCTGTACGTTAAATATCACCCACTTGTCTTCTGGCGGCATGTTGATTCCAACAAGAGGTGAACTTTTCTCCAAATATACAGTGGGAGTTGAAAACTCGAAAGAATCCCCTTGTGCGGCCCATGTTAAAGGTACGATGTACTGCTCCGTTGAGGTTCCTTTAAATAGAAACCTTCTCTGAAAGTAATAAAAATGGAATAAAACACCGCCTCAAAATATAACCTTTGCAATTGCTTCGTGAACGTAATGGTAATATTGTTAGGACATTTTGAAATAATATAATTAATTAGAGAGTTAATTCATATTCCCTTTCTAAGGTAGCTTTTACATTAAAAATAAATATTTTTTGCGAGAGGGGCCAAGGGGTGGGAAAAGACGGCTATTGGCCAGATAGAGAATGCAGGGGAGACACGATAAACGAAGGATCGTTTACATGGTTCTGATAAACGAACACACTACAAACACCGGATAACCTGCTGGTTCTGGACATAAGATCCATATAAATAATACTGTTGTGAAAGACACTATCACTATTCAAAGTAAGTGACAAGATGTCTCTGGCAAGAATGAAGATTAAATCTAAAGAAGCGCTAAAATTAAGCATTCCTTAAGCATCACAACAATATAGAATCAAAAATCCTTAAGATGTTTTATGCTTAATTGGTACAAAACTTTACCTAATGAATGGAAATTACAATAAGTTGTAACTCACATCGATGTAACACAATCCTCTCGTTATCACTTTACTATATTTCGGCGACGACGGACCAAAACAAACAATTTTCTGGCAATTTTGAATATAATTTGAAACCAAATCCAATAGCATGCAATGCGTGGAGCACTTCATGCTATTTGCACTGCCCGGAATGACCTCGTTCCAATCGAGTAAGGGCGGATGTAAACACCAAGACGAGTGATTGCCAACTGGGAAAAAATGACGTCAGGGCAGCCTTTCCCTCCGTGATCAAGCGCTCGGAGAAGAAGTGCGAACAAAGGGGGAGGGAAGCATCGACAGACTGCAGTCGCCGGTGACGAAAACTGTGACAGTGAGCTATTGCCGGCGTTTCAGACAACATGAGTGAGAGATCGTCTAGTTGCGTTTTTTTTCGATTTGAGAAGATTTTTTTTACAGATACTGGGTCAATGGCGAAGTGTTTAGTGAGTTTGAAAGAACTGAACTATGTCAAAAATTGCTACCTACACACGCTATGCAGATTTGCAACCCACAGTAACCTGTAATATAAACATACATTCTGAGCATTTACAGATATCCTGCAATCTTGAGGTGAGTAAAGTATTTTGCAGATAGAAGATTATGGAAAAGGTACTGAAAATCATGAGTATTTATAACATTTTCAAACAATATTGGGCATGAAATAATCGAGCTTGGGGTCCCAATTCTTCCATGTGACCCCTCCCGGGTATCCATTTGTTAACATTAATTATTTTTTGAGGACGAACTAAATTCTTTATATTATATAACATTGAACAAATTATGAACCAAATATGTTAAACCTGTCTCCCAAACTGATATGTAAGGAATGAAAATGATTATATATTACTGGTTATGATAAACGAGTCGAATATTGTTTTGACTTATGTAATAATCTGTGCTATATTATTGAATTTTTCATTTTGTTATTGAATCATAAACATTCTTAATAATAATTAACATTTAAAAACGTTAATGATCGCTCTACCAAGCTTCACTTCCGTGCCGTTATTGGAACACTGCGCCCACTGCCAACGTGGACACTGCCTTTGCTCCGTGGCCTGGTTCGGAGCAAGAG